AAAAAAAGATTTTTATTTTTTTAAGACAAACGTACAAACAAAACATAAAAAACATAAAATCACCTTCCATTTTATATACATACAGTGTGTCAGTTGGTTACAAATCTTTTGTGCTGTACTACTTTTGTAATATCACACACAATTTATATAAATTCTCACGTTGTCAATCTAACCTATGCTTATATATTTATCAGTTATTAATCATTCATGATTAAACTATTTATTCCATCATTTGTAGGACATATTCTAGATTTTATTATAAAATTTGTATTATACTTTCATCCAATAGTTATATATATTTGTATTCTAGTTTATATCTATCTATTAAACTTCTATTACAAGATTGGGATATGGAAATCTTTTTCACACACACACACACACACACACACACACACACGCACACACACACACACACACCCCATCAGCCTGGATTCATCACACAAGGTCAACACCGAGGAACACAAAGAGGAAGAAATTGGCCACACATACACACACACAGCATCAGACAGCTGCAATGCTCAGCTTGTTTACATGGTAAATAAGGGGGAAAGACAGCACAACAGAATCACAGAGTTTGGAAGGACCTTGGAGGTCTTCTAGTCCAGCCCCTTGCTAAAGTAGGGGACCCTATACAAATTAAAACAAATGGCTGTCCAATCTCTTCTTAGAAACCTCCGGTGTTGGAGCACACAACTTCTGGAAGCCAGTCGAGGGATGGACATTCAGCATTAGCCTTTCAAAGTTACGGCAGTGTCGGAGGAGAATTATGACTGGTCCTCAAAGCTGCAACCATTGCAGCATTCCTGTGGTCATGTCATCCCAAATTAGATGCTTGGCAACCGGCATGTGTTTAAAATGGTCGCAGTGTCTTGTAGTCATACGATCTCCATCTGTAACCTTCCTAGTTAGCTTCTAGCAAGCAGAATCAATGGGGAAGCTGGTGGGAAGTTGCAAGTTGCAGTCACGTAACATTGTGCTCAATAACCCACAGTGATTTGCTTAACAATTACAGCCGGAACTGATGTCATAGGTTGGGCATAATCGTGTGACTTTTCAGTTTACAACCAGGTTGCTTAATGATGAAGTTGTCTGTCCCAATTACATTCAATAAGTAATTGAAGAGGGTGCGATGGCTCAGTGGTTAAAGATGCTGAGCTTGTCAGCTGGAAAGGGGGCAGCCTGGGTCTGAGACCTGAGCGCCACACAATGGGGTGAACTCTCATCCCTTGCCCCAGCTCCTGCCCACCTCGCACTTTGAAAGCATGCAAATGCGAGTAGATAAATAGGTACCTCCTGGTGGGAAGGTAACAGAGTTCCATGTAACTTTGGCATATAATGCTGGACATATGACCATGGAAATGTATTCAGACAACACTGGTTCTGCCAGCTAAGAAGCAGAGATGAGCATTGTGCCTTAAGAGTCGGACATGACTGACCAGGGAAACCCTTACCTTTCCTTGTACAGGTAGTCCTCGACTTACGACCATAATTGAGTCCAAAACTTCTGTTGCTAAGCGAGACATTTGTTAGGTGAGTTTTGCCCCATTTTATGACCTTTCTTGCCACATTTGTTAAGTGAATCACTGCAATTGTTAAGTTTAGTGTGGTTGTTAAGTGAATCCAGCTTCCCCATTGACTTTAGTTGTCAGAAGGTTGTAAAAGCTGATCACATGTTCCCAGGACACTAAAAAGGCCATAAATATGAGTCAGTTGACATTTTGATCATATGACCATGGGGATGGTGTAACGGTCATAAGTGTGAAAAATGGTTTCAAGCCACTTTTTTCAGTGATGTTGTAACTTTGAACGGTCGCTAAATGAACTGTTGTAAGCTGAGCACTACCTGCAAATTGGTGTCAGTCGGGGTGGGATTCAAATTTCTTAACAACCAGTTCTGTGGGCATGGCCTAATTTGTGGGCCTGGCTTAGTGGGCAGGTGACTGGGTGGGCATGGCTTGTATGTAAATATTATAAATATTTATGTAAATATTGATTTTTTTTATAAAAAAGAGCAACTTTTACCCCAAAACAGGCAAAGTAGGCAGGCAGATTGAGTTGCTCACAGAATCACAGATTCACTTAGAGATCTATCATTCTGCAATCTGCTACCTGAGTCTGCACTGAAAAACAGAAGTTTCAGTCCTAAGGAAGGTTCAGCTCTGCTTTTAGATTAGCTAGTAAACAAGAAATCCAACAATTTCCTGCTTTCTAGCTAATCTAAATCTCCCAGCACAGCAGAACAGCTGAAAACAGGGGGGGGGGGGAAGGAAAAATAGCAACTTACCAAACACAGGCAAGTTGGATGGCCCGCATGCCAGATAAGGGAGGGGAGGGGCAGGGCCAGCCAGTGGTGTGATTTACCAGTTCTCCAAACTGGGCAGAATCATAACAACCGGTTCTATAGAACCGGACCGACCAGGTAGAATCCTACCTCTGGTGTCAGTGTGATGCAGTATTTACCCCTGGTTTCAATGAATAAATACGTAAATATGGAGCCCTTTTTTCTGTTTCAGGAAATTTGAAGCTGTGTCCCAAAGACTGGCTGCTTCATGAAAACAAATGTTATTGGATCTCAGGGGAAAAACAAACCTGGAATGAGAGTAGAGACAACTGCAGAGCCAAAGATTCTGAACTTGCGATTTTGAAAGAAGAGGCAGAACTGGTAAATACCAATATCCTCCTTCATTCATCCTGTAGAAATGTGTAGCCTTGAAAAGATCTGTGTAGTCATGTCCATGGGAACAGTTTGGGAACAGTTTCAGTTCAACGCTAATTATCTAATGGTTCTCCAGGCTGATAGATCATCAGGTTGACCTCGTTTGCCTGCAAATCAAAGCCAGAAGAATGTCAACTCGCAAAGCACTCCTGGCCTGCTCTCGAGTTGCCATAAGGAGGTGTGTTTGTGTGTGTGGGGAGAGCTGATGGAGTAGTTTGATTGCTATGACCAGAAGCACATTCTATGCATACCTTTCTCCAGATTGTGTCCCTGGTTACCAGAGCCAGTCGGAGAGGCATGGTGTTTTTCTACAGCCTGCAAAAGTGCTCTGTTGGAGAATGTGATTTATGACACACCCTGGGAGGAGCAGGGAAACAGGGTCATAATGGGCAGTAAATTACCTAGGGCAGAGCCAACTGCACTTGGGAAAAGTGCCGACATGCTGCACCTAATAAATAATTAGATTTCTTTTGAAACTTGGCTCGAGGCTCATGAATTAATTAGGGCATCTGTCAGAATCCTGACAAAGACTCCTTAACAATAAATACGTTCCAAATATGTTCATTTATATATAGTATTCATGCTTCTTTTTCTTGCTGGGAGATCCTTGTGTAGTCCAGCAGTCAGAATATGTAGATTATTTAGCTGTGACAAAGTCATGTTGCCCTGGAAGGAAACTAGTCTACACTGTATTGCATCCCTCAAACATCCCACAAACTTTACATCATTCTTCTTCTTCTTGTGCCATATCCACTATTGGATGTTGGTGATCATGTTGGCAATTCTATTTTTATCAACAACCACACGAAAAATGCTGTTGAGTTATGTCCAAACCAATCCCTTAGATTATGAAGCCAATGATGTTCTTCTTCAGTCTGGACCTCGTTTGCCTTCAATCTTTCCTTGGAGGATTAAGTGAAGGATGCCGTATTTTTCCAGGTGTTGCATCACATGTCCAAAATATTCTAACTTTTGCTTTTTTTTACATCATATTGTGACAAAATGCCCCATGAGAGGGTTTCCTGGACCCCTGCAAGAAATACATCATCTCGGGGGCATTGCTGTCCAATGGCTAAACAGTCTAAATAGCCATCCATCAGTTTAGCCACTCTAGTAGCTGCTTATTTGATTTGTGATCAAAGGAAAAAGACGTTCTTTCTTCCAGATGATTTTTAATTAAATTAATTTTTATTCATAACTTTATTCATCATTTTAATTGTGCATTTTTAAAATAATTCACTGTATTGGTGTTTATATCTTTGTACACATTTTATGTGCTGTTTTTGCGAATTTTATGCATTAATTAATTAGTTAATTAACCTCTTACAATACTAGACAACACAGTATCAACAGTAGAGACCTTCAAATTTCTAGGTTCTACTATAGCACATGACCTAAAATGGACACCTAACACCAAAAACATCATCAAAAAAGCGCAACAAAGAATGTTCTTTCTGCGCCAACTCAGAAAGCTCAAACTGCCCAAGGAGCTGCTGATCCAGTTCTACAGAGGAATTACTGAGTCTGTCATCTGCACCTCTATAACTGTCTGGTTTGGTTCTGCAACCCAACAGGACAGACGCAGACTTCAGAGGATAATTAGGACTGCAGAGAAAACAATTATTACCCATCTGCCTTCAATCGAGGACCTGTATGATGCACGAGTCAAAAAGAGGGCTGTGAAAATATTTACAGACCCCTCACATCCCGGACATAAACTGTTTCAACTCCTTCCCTCAAAACGATGCTAAAGAGCACTCACTGCACACAAGAACTAGACACAAGAACAGTTTTTTCCCGAAAGCCATTACTGTGCTAAACAAATAATTCCCTCAACATTGTTCAACTATTTACAAAGTGTACACTACTATTACTGTTAATCTTCTCACCACTCCTTATCACCCATCCCCTCCCACTTGACTGTTTCCTAGTATGATTTGATTGCTTATTGTACCCTATGACTATCATTAAGTGTTGTACGTTATGATTCTTGATTCTTAACGAATGTACATTTTCTTTATGTATACTGAGAGTATTTACACCAAGACAAATTCCTTGTGTGTCCAATCACACTTGGCCAATAAAGTAATTCTATTCTATTCTATTCTATTTTCTATTAATGCTGAATTCTGTTATGCCCTACTAAGTAAACAAATAACTTACATATTTATTCTTGACAGCATTACATCCACCATGTCACCAAGGGGGCACAGATGTTGTGGATAGGACTGTCTGCAAATTCCAAGACCCGTAAATGGTTGTGGATGGACAATTCCCCATATAATAATAAAGAGTGAGTTATTTCCATGCATTCCATGATTATGTGAGCTGGGAAATATATATCTCTTTTCTTCTCCCAGTGTTTTGGACCTAATCCAGTTACAGGTAGTTCTTGACTTACGACCACAATTGAACTCAAAATTTTTGTTGTTAAATAAGACATTTGTTAAGTGAGTTTTGCCCCATTTTACGACCTCTCTTGCCACAGTTGTTAAGCGTATTACTGCAGATCAGTGGCCCCAAACATTTTGGGCACCAGGGACTGGTTGCATGGAGATACATTTTTCCATGGACTGGAGGGGCATGGTTTTGCATGCTGTCTGCATCTCATGGATGAGGCTTTGCTTGTTTGTGCGGCCCGGTTTCTGGCATGCTATGGTCTGGTGCTGGTCCACAGCCTGGAGTATGGGAACCCCTGCAGAGGTGACATTCAGCAGGTTCTGATCAGTTCTGGAGAACCGGTAGCAGAAATTTTGAGTAGTTCGGAGAACTGGCAAATCCCACCTCTGACTGGCCCCACCCCCATCTATTCTCTGCCTCCTGAGTCCCAGCTGATCGGCTGGGTCTTCTTTTGTTGCCCTGCACAGGAGAACGGAGCTGGAAAGCAGGTTAGTGGGGTGGGGAGGGAATGGGGATTTTGCAGTATTCTTCCCCTGTCACGCCCAGCAAGCCATGCCCACAGAACTGGTAGAAATTTTTCTGAATCACCACTGGATCCCTGGATGAGATAGTAATCCAGTTGTTAAGTGAATCTGGCTTCCTTTGTTTGTCGGAAGGTCGTAAAAGGTGATCATGGGACAAAAATGGGACACAGCAATGGTTATAAGTATGAACTTATCAACTGCAGCAATTCACTTAACAACCGAAGCAAGCAAGGTCGTGAAATGGGGCAAAACTCACTTAACAAACATCTCACTTAGCAACAGGAATTTTGGACTCAATTGTGGTCGTACGTCGAGGACAGTACGTAGAAATATTATAATAGGAGCTACAAACAAGAATAAAATAATCCTTCCCCCCTTGACAATCTTTCTTGCTTTCTTCCTTCTCCCACAGGAAGCCAAACATCATGGAGGCTCAAGGAAACAGCTGTGGGATGGTGAAGGGCCCCAAAGTCATCTCGGAATCTTGCAGTGCTGTGACCAAGTGGATTTGTGAGACAGAAGCTCTGATTATATAAATCATTCAAGAGAAAAAACTAGGAAGGACTCTACAATAATTACATTGGGCAGGAATCCAGGTGGCCTTCCACTTACAACAGTTCCTTTAGCGACCGTTCAAAGTTACAACGGCACTGAAAAAAAAGTGACTTATGATGATTTTTCACACTTAGGACCACTGAAGCATCCTGCCCCCATAGTCAGTATTTTACATTTGAATGCTTGACAACTGATTCACATTTATGACAGTTGCAGTGTCCCAATATCATCCGTTGTGACCTTCTGAAACTTGATTCGCTTAACAACATGACTAATTTAAGAACTGCAGTGATTCACATAACAAATGTGGCAAGAAAAGTCATAGAGCTTGGAGCAGGTGTGTGCGCCCTGCCCCCGAGTGCCATTTTCACTGGCAGAGGGCGGCAGGAGGCTGTTGTAGCTGAAAATGGAACTCTGGAGCCCATTTTCGCTGGCAGAGCACTTGAGTCACCACGGACGCCCCCGACACGAGTGACATCAAGCTGCCCGCACCCACCGCACCCCCAAGATCAAACACAACCTTGATGTGACCCTCAATGAAATCGAGTTTGAGAAGGTAAAAAGACAATACTACTTAAAAATTCCATTATGGATATCTACCATTGAAGCTTTTTCTTATCAAATAATATATAAAAAGGAACAAACAGTTAGATATGGTGAGATATTGAATGAAAAGGGTGAACTTAAATTTACGACTTTTCTCGCCACATTTGTTATGTTGGAAGAACAAGGTGTAAAAATGAATTGGTTTTCATATTTGCAAATGCAATCTAGATTTGATAAAGATTTTAAAACAGAAGGTATTTATGATAAGTTGACTGATTTAGACAAAATTTTGATGGGTACTGATGAAAAGATAATTTAAAAACTTTATGGACATGTATTAGAATTTAAATTGGAGGAGGAACAAGTTAAAGAAATGAGGATTGCTTGAAGGGAAAAAATTGGATATGGGATTGATTTGAAAAAATGGCAAAAACTGTGGTCTCAAAATTATAAAATGACAACATCAACTGCATATAAAGAAAATTTGTATAAGATGTTTTACAGGTGGCACCTACCCCCGACGAGACTTGAGAGAATGTTTAAGAATAAATTGGATAAATGTTGTAAATGTCATCAGATACCTGGTTCCCATTACCATATGTGGTGGACATGTTTGGACACAAAAAAATATTGGACTAAAATCCACACATAGTTGGAAAAAATTATAAAACAACATATAGAGTTTAAATCAGAGATCTTTTTATTGGGAATTATACCGGAAATATACAACAAAGAACTGAAATGTTTGATTATAAATGTTTTAACAGCAGCTAGAATTGTATTTGCTAAGAATTGGAAAAATGATAAAATACCTATGCAGGAGGAAGTTACTAAGAAAATTATGGATTGTGCTGAAATGAGTAAATTGACATTTGAAATTGGAGAACAAGAAGATAAACAAATTTATATGATACGGGATTTATTTTATCAATGGTTAGATAAAAAGACACAGTAAAGAAAAAGATTAGTAAGCCTTACAATAAAAGTTAATAGATATAGAGTACAATATAAAATATATAACCACTGGATGAATGTGTAAGATTAAATCATAATGAAAATTAGAATATCTCATATAAAATGATGGAAAAATAGTCACGGATGATTAATAACTGATAAATATATAAGCATATGTTAGTTTGACAATGTGAAATCTATATGAACTGTGAGTAATGACTATGAAAGGATAGCACAAAAGATTCATAACCGACACACTGTATGTATATAAAATGGAATATGTTTTTATGTATTGTTTGTATATGATTGTCTTAAAAAATAGAAACTTATTTTTAAAAAATGAAATCGAGTTTGATCCCCCCGTCCTTGGATCTCCTGGTGTAATGTCATAACCAGGACTTGAGGGACTTCCAGAAAATCAACACAGAGGGTGGGGAGGAATGTCCCATAAAGTGAGTCTCATAGCAGGCCCTCTCCTGGGATCCTCTAAAGGTAGATCCCTAGCAGCATGCTTTCTCTGCCAGAGCTAATGCGATGGGCAGGTGCAACTGGGGAGAAATAGTTGCTCATGTAACCCAGTCCTATGCCAGGAAGGATTTTAAAGATTGAAATCAGCATCCTGAATTGGACCCAGAAGCAAACTGGCAACCAGTGGCACTTGTGAAGCAGAGCTGTAACAATATAATGCTAAAATCAATACAGAGGTCTTATAAGAGCCATGATGGAGCAGTGCTTTGAACGCAGTACTGCAGGCTATTTCTGCCGACTGCCGGCTGGCAGCAGTTTGGCAGTACGAGTCTCACTGGCTCAAGGTTGACTCAGCCTTCCATCCTTCCGAGGTTGGTAAAATGAGGATTTTGGGGGGGGGGGGCAATATGCTGATGGGCGATATGGGATTCAAAAAATATTACTACCGGTTCTGTGGCATGGCTTTGTGGGAGTGGCAGGGGAAGGATACTGTAAAATCTCCATTCCCTCCCCACTCCACTAACCTGCTTTCCAGCTCTGTTCTGTGCAGGGCAACCAAAGAAGACCCAGCCAATCAGCTGGGACCCGGGAGGCAGAGAATAGATGTGGGAGGGGCCAGTCAGAGGTGGCATTTGCCAGTTCTCTGAACTACTCAAAATGTCCACTATCGGTTCTCCAGAACTGGTCAGAACCAGCTGAATACCACCTCTGGTGTTGACTCTGTAAACTGCTTCCAGAAGGCTGTAAAGCACTCTGAAGCGGTATATACGTCTACATATTATTGCTACTGCTATCCAGTGTTTCTCAACCTTTTCTTCACCATGGATCCCATTTAAATACTTTTTGTGGCCAAGATTTAAGATTTAAATCATAATGTTTTTCAAGCCTTTGCGGATCCCTTGTGACAATATTGCCATCCCGTAACAGGTTGAGAACCACTGGTCTAAACTATCTGGAGGTGTAAACAGTTTAGACTAATAAACAATGTAGAAATGTAAACGGTATAAAGGAATAATAATGTAATACTGCAACAGCAGAAACACAGACTATATCATGCAGAAGAAAATCCAGACAAAAGCAGCAACTGATTAAACATCTGAAGCACCTTCTACCTATCCCAACCAGGGTCTGAGAAGAGCTTCTTTTAACATAGTCAAGGGGCGGGGAGGAATCTCTGGCCCCTCTATTTTCACATCACCAACCTGACTAGCGGCCGTTATCTGTTCAAAAAAAGGACACCCTGAGATTTGATCACTGACCAGCATAAGAGCCAAGGAAAACCATAACCCAAGCAGATATGCTAGGTTTACAGTGTGCAAAGGCAGAAATAATTTCCCCTTCTCTGCAAGTAAGGCCCATGTGTTACTTTAGCTCAGGGGTCGCCAACCTTTTGGACCTCAGGGACCACCAAACTCATAATTTTAGATCCCAGGGACCACTAACCAGTTCTGTGGGCATGTCTAATTTGTGAGGGCGGCTTGATGGTCATGTAACAGGCTGGGCATGGCTTGTATATAAATATTATAAATATTTATATAAATATTGATTTTTTTAAATAAAAAAAGAGCAACTTTTACCCAAAATCAGGCAAAGCAGGCAGGCAGATTGAGTTGCTCACAGAATCACAGATTCATTTAGAGATCTATCTGCCATTGGCTAGCCCTCTCCCAGCTTCAGGATTGTTTTGCCCACAGATTGGAGCATCTTCAAACATCAGGACTTCGAGTTATACACAGAGACTGTGCTTTTCTACATGAAGACCTGTGTAGAAAATGTCACTGTGGACAAACGCATATGGACCTTCCCAAACAGGAAACCCTGGATGACCAGCGAAGTCCAGATTCTGATCAGGGCCTGTGACCTGGCTTTTAGAGCAGGTTGACACCTCACAGTACAGCACTGCCAGAGCTGAGCTGAGAAGGGGCATCAAACATGTTAAGGAGGAAAGTCGAGGGCCACTTTACTGACAGTGACCCACGACAGATGTGGAGAGGGATACAGTCCCTGACCAACTACAAAGGCCAGGGCCCAACAAACAGCGAGAGCAGTAGCACTCTGGCAGAGGAGCTAAACAGCTTTTCCTCACGCTTTGAGACCACCAAGAACCTGGTCATACTGCCTCACGAGGACGATGACGCTGCACCGCTCTCTCTTCAGGTGCATGAGGTATCAAAAACACTGAGAGCAGTAAATCCCAGGAAAGCTGCTGGGCCTGATGCAGCAGTTAAAGCGTGTGCTGACCAGTTGGCAGAGATACTTACAGAGCTGTTCAATCTATCTTTAACATATGCCATCATCCCACAATGCCTGAAGGCTGCAACCATCATCCCCGTTCCCCAAAAAACAAATATAAACACTCTCAATGACTGTTAAGGCCAGCAAGTTCTCACTCTGGTCCGCTGTTTAAGCAGGAACCAGGAAGCTCCTGATTGGCTGAACCGTTTGACAGCTCCGGTATAAAAGGAGCTGTCAAACGGAATCAGCTCTCTCTCTCTCTCTCTCTCTCTCTCTCTCTCTCTCTCTCTCTCTCAGTTGCTGCCGCAAGCCGCAGTTAGGCGCAGCTGAGTTACAAGTTAACAATAAAGCCTGTTAGAGTTTGATGCTGACTCTGCCTCTTCTTCTAAGTGCGCCAAACATAAAACTGGTGACGAGGATGGGATGCTGATGAACTGAGGCAATTCCTGAGGCAAAAAGAGAGAGCACCACACAGCTGAAATCACTTCAAAAAGAGCTGTCACTAGAGCAGTCATTATTGAATGAAGAGATGGCGGCGGCGCCAAATTTTCCACCTTTTCAGCCAACCTCCGAGACATGGACATCGTACATCAATAGGTTCGAATACGTCATGGACGCTGAGAACCTTACTGATATCCCTCCTAACAGGAAGAATGCATATTTCCTAAGTTTCTTTGGGGCCACCATTTTCGACAACGCCACTGCGCTGCTAGCTCCTCAGACTGTCAAGACCATTACCTGGGAAGAATTACAAGAAGTGCTCAGTAACCACTATGCCCCAAAGCCATTGCATATCGCCCACCGCCATGCATTCAGGAGAAGAAGCCAAGCAGAAGGCGAGTCCATAAGTGAATACATGGCGGCTCTTCGTTCAGCCACCCTAAAATGCGGTTTCCGAGATCATCTAGACGATATGCTGCTGGACCAGCTTGTTTGCGGGGTGAGAGACCTTCGACTTCAACGACGGCTGCTGGCTAAGGGTGACCTCACCTTGAAGCAAGCCATTGAAGAAGCCCAAGCTGCTGAACTATCCAACTTATCCGCAGGCGAAATACAAAAACCAAGCAGCCTCCGCGGGATAAAACCCAGCACTGTGGTCCACTACGAAGACACCTACAGTGAAGATGATGACTTCGAAGAGGAAGAAGCATTCAATCGTCCCCAAACACCCCAGTCGACGCAGAGATAGTTTTTGTGCCGACAAGAAGCAACTTACACCACAGCTGATTTGTCTCAGCTGTGGAGGAAGCCATCTGAGAGCCACTTGCCATTTCCAAAACGCTGTCTGCCTAAAGTTCCAGAGGAAAGGCCACATAGCTAGAATCTGCCAGGCACCTAAAATCACAATCCTGCCATCTCAACATCTCTGACAACCTAGAAATCTCAAATCCAAAGATGAATGCTATGCCATCAACAAGGCATTCACAAGAGCTGAGCCACTAACTTATTCTTTTAATGTTAATAAAATTAATGTTGATCTTCTCTTAGAAGATCAGCCACTTCAGATGCTCTAAGCAGGGCTTTAGACAGGATTTTCACTTCCCATGGGTACCCTGACACCCTGGTCTCTGATAATGGGCCCCAATTCATCTCATCCCCTTTTGAATTGTTCCTGGCCCAAAGAGGAATCAGACATGCTCTACTTTCCCTGTTTCATCCAGCCTCCAATGGCCTTGCAGAATGACCTGTAAGATCTGCAAGTCTCCCTGGGAAGAATGATGGAAGGGGACTGGTCTACCAGGGTAGCCCAGTACCTACTTACCCAACACACCACCCCAAGCGCAGCCACCAACCTCTCCCCTGCCGAACTATTAATGGGAAGGAGACTCCAGAAAACCCTAGACAGGCTACACCCTAATTATGCCCCCAAGGCGCCCCTTGACTCATCTAGCAAGGGAATTTAGGCCTGGAGACCTGGTCTACTCCCAAAATTATGTAGGGAATCCCTTATGGTTGCCTGGGTGGGTTGAGCAAAAAACAGGTCCCAAATCCTACAGGGTGAGGTTGTCGGATGGACGGTTATGGTGCTGACATGTGGACCAACAAAGAAGCCGTTGGAGTACCCCAACAGGTCCAGCCCAGAGGGAAACCAAGGCTGCAGACTACGAATAGGGCAAAACCAAAGCCCATAGCCAACCGACTCGCAATCAGCGATCTCTAGAGGAAGACGTACCTGGGGAAGCCGTGACACCAACCAGAGACCACTCGCCGGCTTTCAGAAAGGTTCTAACGACACCGAAAGACCTTCCATGGCCAGCCAAGAATGACCAGAGAAGAGAGCCAACACCACCCCGAGGAGAGAACGCCAGCCTGGCAGCAGGTCCTTCCACATTGCAGGCTCCAGCATATCTAAGGTGCTCAGAGCGAGTGAGGTGTCGCCCCACCCATCTGAGCGACTACACTTGTGCAGAGCCAGGGGGAAGGAGTGTTAGGGCCAGCACTCCGGTCCACTGTTTAAGCAGGAGCCGGGAAGTCCCTGATTGGCTGAACCGTTTGACAGCTCCGGTATAAAAGGAGCTGTCAAACCGAATCAGCTGTCTCTCTCTCTCTCTCTCTCTCTCTCAGTTGCTGCCGCAAGCCGCAGCTAGCCGCAGCTGAGTTACAAGTTAACAATAAAGCCTGTTAGAGTTTTATGCTGCCTCCGCCTCTTCTAAGCGTGCCAAGCATAAAAATGACAATAGGCCCATAGTGTTAACAAGCTCCATTATGGTTTTTGAGCAACTAGTTTCACAGCACATCAGAGACTGCCTCCCGCCCTCCTTTGATCAACATCAGTTTGCTTATAGAGCAAACCGATCTACAGAGGATGCTGTGGCCATCACACTTCATAGAGCTGATATTTCAGCTGATATCTCCTGGTCCCCTAACACCAAGGCCATAGTGAACAAGGCTCAGCAGCGGCTGCACTTCCTGCGGGTTCTCAGGAAAGACAATCTGGATAAGAAGCTGTTGCTGGCTTTCTATAAAGCCTCTGTGGAGAGCACTCTGACATACTGTTTGGGTGTGTGGTATGCAGGCTCCTCAGCTGAGGACAGGAAAACTGTACAGAGGATGATAAACACAGCTCAAAAGTTCATTGGTTGCCCTCTGCCCTCCCTGGAAGACTTAGCCAGGTCCCGCTACCAAAGCAGAATCAAGGCCATCATAGAAGACCCCTCATACCCTGGCAATTATCTTTTGGATCTGCTGCCGTCTGGACAGCACTTTAAGTCAATAAAATCCCACACCACTAGACTAACAAATAGTTTCTTTCCCTGGGTCATCCAAACCGCAAATAAATACAAAGTCACTACCTTATTAAGATGTGAAAGAATGGGAAATCGCAATACCTCATTCAGATGTATAACATATTACAGTACAATCCATCTCTTGTGTATTACACTCAGCAAAGTGTCACAGTCAGTGTTGGATGTATATTTTGTGTATATTCGTAGATACTGTACTCTCTAATTGTAAATGGAGATGTGGGTACTTCATTTTTCTTATCTTCATTTTTAAGTGCTCTGGTTTTATTATATTGCGAACAGTTGCTGGGGTGCATCCACAGCTTTGTTGTACTTGTACAACGACAAAAAAGTTCTTCTTATCTTACCTCTTAGCTCAGTCTGTCACATAAAATTTGCTTGCAAGCAAACTCATAAAATTAACTCACAACACACCATGTATATAAAGATTGAATTTTTTATAAAAAAAGAGCAACTTTCACCCAAAATCAGGCGAAGCAGGCAGACTGAGTTGCTCACAGTGATCTATCATTCAGTGATCTATCTGCCATCGGCTAGCTCAGTCTCTCAAATTTGCTTGCCGTGAGTCTGCACTGAATTTGCTTGCAAGCAAACCTTCAGTCCTAATAGAGGTTTGGTGCTTAAAAGCAGAGCCGAGGATCTACAGACTAGCGAGAAAGCAAGAAATCCAACCATTTCCTGCTTCCTAGCTTATCTAAATCTCCCAGCACAGCAGAACAGATGATGGTCAGAAAAAAGGAAAAATAGAAATTTAGCAGGCAAGTTTACCGGGTAAGGAGTGAGTGGGTGGGGAGGGCTCGCACCGGCCATGTGGGTGGCGCAGCCTGGATTAATTGCTTTGGAAGGGTGCTCTGGGGGTGAGATTTCTCTGCGGCCCACCGGTTGGCGACCGCTGCTTTAGCCAATATTACGAGATAACACCAAGTGAGTGGATTGGAGGCCATATGTCTTCAAACTCTCTTTGGACGTGTGAACTCATCAGGCTTGCTGCATATCCACTGATGGAAGGTGCTGCACCTGGAACTGCTTGGTCTGCCTTCATCATTCAGGTAGGCACAGTTCCCTCCATCACCGAGGACCTCCAACCTGCAACACAAGAGCAACAAGGGTTAAAAGCTTTGTCCCCCGCTGGCATCTAACCATGTTATCAACTTGCTCTAGCAACATCTCTTTTCTGCTTTCCTTTCCTTCCCACCTGCAAGAGAGGTTTAATTCGCCCTTAATTGACTTAATTTGGTACCCTAATTTGCTTCTTTATTCCAACAATCTCCAAGAGCTGTCACAAGGTGCATAAGATCTACTTCAACATTCATGGTCTTGGAGGAAAAGTCAGGCAACCACAGTGACTTGGATTGGAGAGGTAGCAATGGAGTCCCCAAATTTCATGCCAGTAGTCAAGAATGAGCAAATCTCAACTCGCCAATAGGGAGAAGCAAGGTTGAGTGGGTGATAAGAAGATAGCAGTGGATTCATATGGGCTAGTCTGGCAGTAGTCAGTATGGTATTTCCTAGCAACTTTGAGCTATGACTCACTTCTCCTTTGTGCTCAGAACTGATGGGAACTGGTCCATCTGGAGGCCATACATTTGCTAAAACTGGTTGGTTTCAATCACGTGTGATTAGTGATGTGTCTATTCTCTTCCTGAGCCCAAATTCTGAGCTAGGGCTCCAAGTTAATTTAGAAAGCAGCCATATTGGGGCTATTCTTCTTGATGTACTTATTTGTTAGACTTATATTCCAGCTTTTTGTTTAGGGACTAATTTATTTTGATTTTACATTTATTTTTTTCTTATGTCCTATTTTTGGAGATTGCCTGGACAATTCTTGGCAAAGTTTTTCAGAAGTGGTTTGCCATTGTTTCCTTCCTAGGGTTGAGGGAAAGTGACTGGCCCAAGATCCCCCAGCTGGCTTTGTGCCCAAGGCACAAGTAGAATTCACAGTCCCCAGTTTTTTAGTCTGCTGCCTTAACTGCCAAGCCAAATTTGGCTCTTACAAGTACCTATCTAACATATGAGGAAGGTAAGGCTCAGAGGATCTGGCCAAAAGTCAGCAAGGAATTTTCAGTGGCTCAAAGGAGATTCGAACCTGGGTCTCCTCTCTCTTAATGTGAAATGTTCACTACCAGACCATACTGGCTCCTGGGGATGAGAAAGAAGGGCCAGTCTATAATCCCCAGGCATCTTTTATGGTTGAGAAGAGACCTAACCTGGGTTTCTCAGCTTAACCACTACATCACATTGGCTTGCTTCCATTCTCTAAATTCTCTAGTTTTAAGCACAAAGTTGGCATTTATGAAAATATGCCCTGGATGATGAATAAACTGCATGCCACTTCTTTTCAGCATTGGCTGGTGTAGAGTTTATTTCATTCATTTATTCAATTTATACGCTGTCCATCTCACCACTCCTCAAGTGAAGGCATAAGAGAGAAAGGATGACTCACGTGGAAACACTTCCGTTGACCCACGTCCAGGGTTGCTCTGGCTCTCGTTGGAGGCCAATCCAGTAGGGAATGCTGCCTTTGTAACGCTGCACAAAATCCTTTGGACAGAATAAATGGGAAACATTAAATTACATTAAATCACTGTGAAATGTTTACAGACCCCCAAGCGTACATATGTTTCAACAGTTTACCTATTTCCTCAATAATCAAATCACCGATATTTAGAGTCGGCCAATAATTCTATAATATTGTTTGATTATATATTATATATTATATAGGAGTTCATACCAGGATACAGAGACTGCCTGCTCCATTTTCCCCAAAACGCTTGAGAACATTAAGTCTTCAGCTCCTTAAGCCAGCTCCTGCCCCAGAATCCCACAAAAAGGTGCAGCTATTTTAAATAGTTGCAGAAAGCTGCTATGTTGACACCCCTTAGACTTCAAAGCCCCCTTTTAGAGTCAAACCAGAGTGCTAACCAGCCCTAATATCAATGATTTCAATAAATCCTAGTAGAGGATGCACGAAGGCAAAACAACCGTGCTGTTTTCTCTCACTTCCTTTTCCTGAAAGGTTAAAAAGGATCCCACTCAGGAGAAAAGGGAGCTATTCCCCTTAAAAGGGGTGCAGCTATTTCAAAAAGGAGAGGCTGGTGTGTTTACTGGACTCAGTTCCAGAACACAGAGCAAAAAGAAGCAAAAAGGCTAAAGTAGAAAAAAAAGCTGGAGAGATGAAATCTGGAAAAAAGTAACTTTATATAGTCAGTAAACAGGGCAGTCATTAAATAAGGTCTACCTGTAGTAACATAGGCTAAAGATACTGGCCATCAATTAGAAAGTGATAGATGCTCTTCCTTAATGAAAATCAATCCAAACTTTTTTTCAAACTTCGCTATGGTCACGGACCAGCACAAAATGAAAATCAACATATTGTATAAAATCGATTCCCTGCTAGCAGAACTGATGTATGTGGACCCTGCGTGAAATTGGTACCAGCCACAATACAATAGGATATTTTCACCTCTTACCATTTCTTTATCGTCAATAACGGGCAGTGAGGCGTTGTTCAAAGAGCAGAAGTCTCGACTAGCAGACCAGGTTTCTTCTTTATTTGAGAAGTAGAAACATTTCGTCTGGAACCCAATCCAGTCAGTCGGGCACGGGCGTCTCCCAGGTTCAGAGGCTGCCAATAGCAGCTTACAGTCATCAGGGTTTGAAGTTGTCTTATTTATCGGTGATGCTAAGGGGGGGGGAACGAGATCAAGATCTAACAAACATTCTCCAGAGTCAATCAAGCACAAATGTGCATGAGGAATACAGCTAGTCCTCAACTTATGATCGTAATGAAGACTGGAATTTCTGACGTCTTAACTTAAGTCGTGATGGTCATAAGCCGAGGCCTCACACAACTGACTTGATCTTACAACATTTTTTGCAGTGGTCATTAAGCGAATGCAACGGCCATAAAACAAACATGGTGAGTGTAAAGTGAATCCATTTTCCCCAATGTGTGAAATTAGAAGTAAACATGTTTCCAGCAAAAATGTTGTGACCCCCAAAGTCCCCTGTGCATCATGCCCGGCCACATACATTGGACAGACCAATAGAAGAATAAGTACCCGCCTGGATGAACACAAAAATGCAGTCAAAAAGCTGGAACACACTTCCTCACTAGTCCAACACATGGAAGCCACAGGTCATAGCATCAACTTCAATGGCACCAAAACCCTAGCCACTATAGAAAACCCCAGCCACAGAATCATCAGAGAAGCCATAGAGATTGAAAAAAGACCTGAAAGCATGAATAGAAGAGATGATTCCACCAGAATGTCAATCATTTGGAAGCCTGCACTCGCAAACAAAAAAATCTCCACACCACTAGCCAGGCAAACACCTGGGCATAAACAGATCCCCCCTGATACCTCCAGCTCAAACACACCCCAACCAGGCACCCAGATGAAATCTAGCTTCCTAACAAATGATAGACGTCCATTTACCCGGAGCCAAGCTACACTAAAGGCCTCCAATAAAGGAACACAATGTTGCCAGCCAATCAAGATACAAAAAGAGCCACAAAACAGACAGAAGATATTAGAAACACCAATCAAGCAGAACTCAGCAAACTCCAAGACCAATAAACACAGACCCAGATTCCCAACCAATCAGGATGAAGAAAAAACCCATTCTGGCACAGCAATAGGCTGCCCCAAATTTAAATCTGAAACCACTGTAAAAGCCTGACTCACAGACGGACACAATACAGAAGCCTGATGATGGCAGATGAGATTCTGCCGAAACATTGCTACAACTTTAAAAGCACAACTACAATGATGTGGGAAAATACCCGAACAGAGCTGAATACCATACATACATACATACATACATACACACACACACACACACACACACACACACATATATATACATACATACATATATAAAACTGAAAATTAAAAAAAACCATTTAAAAACAATAAAATCAGTAGAAAACATTTTTTAATGTGACAAACCAAGAGAGGAAGATCATTTTATTACAATTTACAGAATATTCAGACAAAAAGGATTTCTTTCATTCAAAGAATGAACCTAGAGCCTTAGCTTACTTCCCCTTTTATAATTAACATAACAAAGGAAAAAAAGGGAAAAATAATCCTTCCTTTTCACAATAAATCAGCCACAAAGGTTGTCTGAAGTTAGATAACCAAATGCTAGTTGACACTAAGAAAATTTTCCTTATCAGGAGATAGTATCCTGCCATCCTCTGTAACCTTTATCTTTTCAGTTTAGGAATGTTAGAAGCTATCTAATCAATCCATACAGCCATAGGATAAAACAAAGTTTTCCTACCATGTTTCTCAGAAAATAAGGCCAGGCCCCCGAAAAAATGGCTAGACCATCTTTTGGGGGGTGACTTAATTCCCCCCCTCTTGCATCCTTGGGTGGGTGGGCGGAGACGGCTTGGATGTTGACCTCAGTGTTGGTGGTTTGAGAGTGTGTGTAGATAGCGGTTTGTATGTGTTTGTATGTATACACATACAAACTGCTATCTGTACACACTCTCACACCACCACCCAGCACAGATCAATTCCGTAGCCGAGACACTCATCTCCAGAACAAAATGCTTAGCCAACAAACAACACCTAAAAACTAAACTATACACTCTCACTAACATACTAACAGCCAATGTATTCCAAAGAAAGAAGATTACCCGCTTAATCCAAAAAGAAACCCCAACCAAAATCCAAGACAGAGAACAAGAGAACAGCAAAGCCCTCCTCCCATATATAAAAGACAACAGACAAAATCAGCAAGATCCTCCAAAAACACAACATTAAAACAGCACAAACAGAAAAATATCCACCATCCTAAGAAACCCTAAAGACAAAATCGAGTTAGAAAACCAAGGAGTAAACGAAGGAGTTCGTTGGCTAAGCATTTTGTTCTTGCACCGCCTGTCCCACCACATATATCGGACAAACTAACAGAAGAATAAGTGTACGCGCATTGAAGAACACAAGAACTCAATCAAAAAAGAAGAACCGATCTCTTCCCTGGCCCAACACCTCAAAGCCAAGGACATGAGATTGACTTTAAAAATACCAGAACTATCGCCAATACCAAACACTTCAACAACAGAATAATCAGAGAAGCCACAGAGATAGAAAAACGCCCACACAGCATGAATAAACGAGGTGACACCTCCCGCCTACCAGCCATTTGGAAACCCGCCCTCATGAACAAACGAGTACCTAACATGAAGAATGACACCAGAGCCACACCCACGAAGGCCAACACACTTCCACGTAGAAAGCAGACTCACACCCACACAGAAGATGAGACACGACCACGGACCAGAAGCAGTACCGCAGCTGCATCACTACCCGCTTCAAACCCCTCCGACCCATACATGAAGCGAACTGAAGCCCGTCATGAAGATGCGACACAACCACAAACGCAAAGCCAAACAGCAGCATCACAGCTCACCAGCTCAAATTCCCCAGCAACTAAGACTAACCTGAGCATAACCAAGCCCCCACCTGAACAGAACACACCCCCAGCCAATCAGAACACAGCCAACCCCCCAACCAATCAGAACAAGTCAAGTCACCCCCACCACTAGCAGTTAAAAGGAAGAAGCAGTTGCAAGCTCACATTACTCCGAGAAGCACAAAGCCGAAGACACAAGCCTGAAGATGATGAATGAGACTTCATCAAAACGTTGCCTAGATACTTCCAATCTTATGTGGGAGAAAACCCGAATAACCAAAGATCCA